ATGTTGATTCTAAGGAAAATGTGAGCTCCTTGAGGTCATGGATATTTTTGTTTTGTTTTGATTTTTGTATCCACAGTACATGTTGTATATAAGTTCTTACTAAATACTAAATGAATAAACCAATCTTTTATTCCAAAATTCCTTCCAGATTCCTTCAATCTTTTCATAATCCTTGTCACCCTGTTCTGGATACAATACAGGTCATCTATATTCTTCTTGGAATGAAATGTCCAGATCTGAAATTTAGTACACCACTATGTTATGATGGCACTTCATGAATCCTCCACATATTACAACAAATAATGAGCCCTCAGGGGCAAAAAGCACAAGTTGTAATAATGGTAACACAGTACTTGCACAGAACAAGCACTTACTAAATAATGTGTATTTTTTTCATCCATTCAGCCATCAGTAAGGTTTCACAGTTGAGGAAGAATCATGGCTCAGTTTCTGAATATCATCTATTATAGAAGGTATTTATAAATTAATTCTATGATGATGCAAGAAATATATAATCAGTATTATCAGGTAGTATGCATTGCAATATTTCCTTGGAGAGAAAAAAAAATAACTGGCAGAAATTTTTAGCTCAAGTTCTTTATAAATGTCTTACCATTCCTCTCTTTGATTAGAGACTACAACTTTGGAAGCATCAAAGTATGCTAAGTAAGGGTGGCCATGATTTTCATCTCTCTCTGAGACAGATTGTTAATGACCACTTGAGAGACTGACCCCAAGTAAAGAATTCAGCTTAGTTAAATCACAAATTTAATCAAAGACACAAGCACCTCTTGAAGACAAAATTTTGTCTCCTATATCTATAGCTATTAGTCTCAAGAAAAAAACTGATAGAACTTTTATTTAATTAAGACCTATTTAAGGAGATGGTAGATAGCATTTTATTTCCTTGGTGGAAACAAATCAATTGCTGAGTTAACTAGTAAATTCCTTATTTTAAAAAAAAGGTAGCTAAATCATACAGCACAGCAGTAATGGTAAGGCATGTTCTTCATGCCACTTGCTTTGAGTACCCTGGGATTTTCATTTCATATAAAATTTATAACTTGATGCACTAACTCCACAAATTGAAATGTCTTAAGTTATTTTGAAAGGGAGAAAATATAATTTCAGTGGTTCCAAAGAGTGTTTGCATGAATTTGTCAGTCTATAATTCAATTCAGTTCAAGAAGCAGTGTCTTCTATGAGATGATTATTGTGCTCGATACTTACTGGGAATGCAAAAACCAAATGAAATGCCCTAAAGGAGCATACATTCTATGGTGTGGAATATGCACATATAGCTATTTTTTTTAATAAGGAAAAGTAATTTCTGGAATTTGGCCAATAGTCTTTTGTAAAGAGCATCTTATAAACAACAGAAAAGGACTTTGAGAGGGCAAAATGCTAGGGAAAGGAAGAGTACAATAGGACCACTAGAGGGATCATAGCTACTTCAGTTGTTGGCTTTAAGAAAGGCATTTTGTTGTTATAGGAGACCAGCACAGATTCAGGAGACCTGAATTCCAAACACAGTTTTGGTACCAGTTATCTGGGTTGTTGTTTGTTTGTTTGTTTGTTTGTTTGTTTGTTTGTTTGTTTCTTTCTTTCTTTCTTTCTTTCTTCTTTTTTTCTTTCCTTTCTTTCATTAAATATTTCCCAATTATTTTTAAAAATGTTTGACATTCTTTTTTTTTAATTTTGAGTTCCAAATTCTCTCCCTTCCTTCCAAACTTTGAGAAGGCAAGCAATATGATATCAATTATACACTTGAATTCATTCAAAGCATTTTCATATCAACAATGTTGCAAAAGAAAATAGGCAAAAAAAGGAAAATAAATTGAAAAGGTATAATTCAATTTGCACTCAGACTCTATCAGTTTTCTTTTGGAGGTGTATAGCATTTTTCAATACAGGTCCTTGAAATCATTTTGGATTATTGGCTTGATCAGAGTAGGTAAGTCTTTCACAACTGATCATCATTACAATATTGCTATCACAACATACAATGTTCTCCTGGTTATGCTCACTTTACAATGTTTCAAATGAGACTTCCTAGGTTTATCTAAAACCATTCTACTTGTAATTTCTTATGGAACAATAGTATTCCATTATAGTCATATACGACAACTTGTTGGAGCTCTTCCCCAATTGGTGGGAATCCTCTCAAGTTTTAATTTTTTGCTACCACAAAAATTTTTGTGTAAATAGGTTCTCTCTCTCTCTCTCTCTCTCTCTCTCTCTCTCTCTCTCTCTCTCTCTCTCTCTCTCTCTCTCTCTCTCTCTCTCTCTCTCTCTCTCTCTCTTTGTCTTTTATGTCTTTGGGATATAGACCTAGTAGTGGTATTGTTGAGTCAAAAGTTATGCGTAGTTTTATAGCCCTTTGGGAATACTTCCAAATTGTTCTCCAGAATGATGGAACCAGTTCACAACTCCACCAATAGTGCATTAGTGTCCTAACTTTTCCACATCTCCTCTTGCATTTGTTATTTTCTTTTTCTGTTCTATTAGGCAAATTGATAGTTGTGAGGTGGTATCTCAGAATCATTTTAATATACATTTCTCTAATCAAAAGCAATTTGGAAACAACATTAGATCAAGCCTCTAAACAGATTCTGGAGCTACAGAACCCACAAAGAGAGAGAGAGCGAAACAGTTTTCCAGCGTAAGATAACTAAGAAGGATTTCAGGAAAGGTCTGTGTTGCTGGGTAAAAGCAGAGCACAGCCCAGCGCAGACAGTGTCCAAGCAAGCCACTGAGAGGCTCTTAGCTGCAGCACAGATCAGCAACCGAGGCCACTGGGTCCTGGCTCATCAGGATAGCAGTGAGGCTTCCAGCTTTATCACAGAAGGCAAATATCGAGCCCCAGAACCCTGGCACAACAGGTGCAACTAGGCCAGGCCACCCCCAGCACAGTAGGCAAGCCACAAGCACCTGAAGCCCCGTGTGGAAAGCCAGTGACCAGGCCCCTGGCCTCCAACATAAGAAGCTCTGGATAGTGTCCCCTGTGCCCCAGGAGAAGATTTCAACTTTAAAAGTCACAAAATAGAATGAAAAATGGGTAAGAAGCAGAAAAGAGCCCTGACCATAGATACCTACTATGGTGACAGGAAAAATCAAAACGCAAACTCAGAAGAGGGCAACAATATCAAAGCACTTACATATAAAGCATGAAAGGGGAATAAAAGTAATTTAGAGCATTTTATATGAGACTATTGAAAACTTTGATTTCTTCTTTTGAAAACTGCCTATTCACACATATCCTTTGACCATTTATCAATTGGGGAGAAGCTCTTATATATTTGAGAAATTAGGCTTTTATTAGAGAAACTTACTATAAACTTTTCCCGGTTTCCTATTTTCCTTCTAATTATGGATGCATTTGTTTTGTGTAAAACATTTTAATCTTACATAATCAAAATTTTTCAATTTATTTCCAATTTTCCTTTTTATAACTTGTTTGATCATAAGTTCTTCACTTATCCATAAATCTGAGAGCTACATTTTCACATGGCCCCCTGATTTACTTATAATATCACCCTTTATGTCTAAATAATTTGTTCATTTTGATCTTATCTTGATATAATGGGGGAGATGTTGGTCTGTGCCTAGTTTTTTGTTTTTTGGGTTTTTTTTTTTGAAAATTGCTTTCCAGGTTTCCCAGAAATTTTTGTCAAATGGTGAGTTCTTGCCCCAAAAGTTTGGATTTTTGGATTTATCAAACACTAGGAATCTTTAAGTATACCATGATATCATCTGCAAAGAATAATAGTTTTGCTTCCTCATTAATTATTTTTATTCCTTCAATTTCTTTATTTTCTCATTGCTAACAAGTTACATGTTTATCTTTAGTTTACTAGCTGTGTTCTTCGTGAAAGTCACTGCAATCTCTGTGAACCCAGTTTATACCTCTATAAAATGATAGGATTGAATCATATGACCTCTAAGATATTTTACAATATTGGATCTCATGAGAAGAAGAAGAGGAAGAAGAGGAAGAAGAAGAAAGTGGAAGAGGAGAAGAAAGAGAAGGAAGAGGAGGAGGAAAAGGACAAAGGAGGAATAAGAAGAAGAAAAAGGAGAAGAAAAAGGATAAAGAATAGCAGTAGCAACAGCAGCAATAGTAGTAGTAGTAGTAGTAGTAGTAGTAGTAGTAGTAGTAGTAGTAGTAGTAGCAGTAGTAGTAGTAGTAGTAGTAACCAGCAATGGCAGTAACAGCAATGGTTTACTTTACATAGGGTTAACTCATTTAATCCTCAAACCAATCCTGTGAAGTAGATAGTATTATTATGCCCATTTTACCAATGAGGGAATTGAGGCACAGAGAGTCTAAAAAACTTGATCAGGTTCAGATGGCTAATATGTTATAATGCTGGGATTTGATTTTAGGTCCTAATGACTCCAAATTGCACATTTTATTCATTGTGACATCTAGCTGCAAAAAGTCAGCATGAAAAAAAAATGTATATATGCAAGCATACACAGCTCATTTTCTTTCTAGGTAGGATCAAGAAATTGTATGTGTGTGTAGACACACACATACATATATGTGTGTATATATAAGCATAAAATGTATGTGTGTATATGTGTGTGTGCATATACATATACATACACATATTTGAGTTAAACTAGTTACATTATGGCTACAGACAATTTCATGATTAGAGAATATGAGAAAAAATAAGAATACTTTGATATTCAAAATGCAATTTATCCAATTCAGTGAGAAATCAAGTTAAATAAGATGTTAGATTAAATAGCAAGTCCATTCAGGAAAAGTTTTTAAAGATAAAGAAGAAGTAACTTATTCTACATTTTAAAATTGTTTCAGACATTCCCAGTCTCTGTGATTTATTGCAAATCTACTTTTCTTTGTAAGGGATTGTGTAATCAATAAAGAGTATCCTTGGAGCCAAGTACTACAACTGACATAAAGTGATAATTTGATCTTCCAAGGCTCTATAATCCTCTGAACATAAATTGCAAAGAAAATGCCTACTTACTTAATGAGATGGCTTTTCCTCATCCAGGAATTGTCTATACCAGGGCTTCTTAAATTTTCTCCACTAGGGACTCCTTTTCTTGTTGCTGTAGCTTTCTTGGTGTTGCTTGGCCTGATGTCATGCACGGTGAGAAGTGTGCATGCTTTGTGTTTAGAACCAAGGCTGTACTGAAGTTGCAAGATGCACAAGCAAGTGTTGCCAAAAACACCTCACATGCATTACACATTTGATTTTGAATTAATTTTTGGTCATTGTTCACTCAGAAGCCTTTTAATTTTGCCAAATTTTTGTGACCTCATTTGGGGTTATTACCCACAGTTTATGAAGTGCTGGTCTATACCATTAATAAAATCATACATCTAGTTCTTATCCCTATTCTGTTTTTCCAGACTTACCATCTTTAGTCTTTATAACATACTTTAGGCCACAACAAAGTCAAGAACTTTGGTTCCTTCGACATTCTCCATGGATTTTCAACTCAATAAAATCATGGAACTTAGAGTCAGAAGATGCATTAGTGATCATACAATTTGCCTTGATTGTTCAGATGGAGAAAATGATGTCCAGAGAGGGTAAGTGATGTGCCCAAGGACACAGACCTTTTGACTTGAAATCCAAAGTTATCTCCCGTCTCTACTTGACTTTTTCTTCTGCTTTTCATTTAGAGGTGGGGATCAATCTCTTATTCAGGAAGAAGATGGAAAGAACAATTATAATTTACCACAACACCAAATCTAGAATGATAACTTGCCATAAAAATATAATTTTCAATTCACAGCACTTTCTTTTCTTTTCTTTCCTTTCCTTTTTTTACTTCTCTAAATTAGCTCAAATTCAGAGTACATGTGGCAAAGGGATAATTAATAATTCCCAGTTAAAGTCTTTTTATCCACTTCATGGGGTACTAAAGAACTATGACTTTGATACCTGGTACCTTTATGATCTCATCATCGTTTCATGTATAAAATGAGGTGGCTGAACTAGCTAGATTTGTCTAAGTTTGTGCTGTAAATATAAGGTTCTCTGATTTCATGCAAATGTTTTCTCCAATGCCTTTCAAATTAGTTTTCTTCCATTAGCTCATATTTCACCAAATAGACTATATAGTGTGTTTCCATATTGATAATATTTACACCATATACTTTTGGAGTCATTCTTGACTTTTTGCTTGCCCTCCACTCCTCAGCTCCAGTCAGTTGCCAGGTTCTGTTGATTACATTTTGAAAAATCCCCAGCATCTATTATTTCTTTTCATCATAATTCTTTAAGACATTTGTTGTCTGCTTACCTGGACTAATGCAATAGCCTGCTAGCTGATTTCTTCCCTCAAGTGCACCTTTCTTACAGTAATCGTCCTAACATACACTTTTTATCACATCACTATGTTTGAAAAAAAGCTCTAATTGCTTACTGAAGAAACAAAAACTACTTAGGCAGCATTCAAAGCTCTCAACAATCTTCAAGTCATCTTTATACTTTTATTATAGGATTTTCCCTTTTATTCCAAGTAAAATTGGATTTATAATTCCCTAACTTTGTTCTGTTTATTCCTACCTTCACATATGTGACTACATGCCTGTAATAGGCTATCTAATAACCTCCTTTATTTAAATCTTCCTACAAGGATAAACTTAGTTTTCTTTACCTCTGTGGCAAATAGATACCATCTCAGACTTGGAAGGGTCTTTAGAAACTTTATGCTCTAATTTATACATGAAAGAAAATGTCTTCTGTAGTCTAAAAGCCTGAATTTCAGTCCTGTATTTGACAAATGCTGGTTGTGTAACTCCAAAGAAGTCACTTAAATCCCTCACTTCTTTATCATCCATCCAAGACTCTAAGTCACAGAGAAGGTGCCAAACTTTAATGGTACAAGGAGTTTCCTTATGGGGAAATTTCTTATATCAGTGAAATTCTAGTCCTAGTCTCTACTCACTAAATGTTAAGTCTTACATTGGGGTTCAAATAATCAAAATACATATTAGATCCAGGAAGTTTGACTATGTAGCAGGGGTTTTTTCTGAAAAATATCTACAGATATTGGTGATTTCCAAGTTCAATATAAGCAAACTATGCAAAAGGACGGTTAATTTTAATGGACTGGATCTGATTCATTCACCTGGTGGCTTAGGTCTGAAATTAAAATGAGAGGAGACATTGTAAACAGTTGCAACATCATTTAAGTGTAAAAGGGTTTTCTGATGAGCTAAGTCCCTATGAGCATGCTCAGAGTGCCACTAAAGCAATTCACCATGAAAGAGGCAAGGAAGCCTGCATCAAGAAGAACTGTGATTATATGTAATAGAGGTGGCCTGAAGAGACTTTGGAATATCTATATACATTCTGTAATTGGTTCTAGTTTGCTACTATTTGACCCAATATCAAACTGCTTGGCATATGCCCCAAGGAAGTCAATGACAAATGGGAAGGTACCATATAGATCAAAATATTTATAGTAGAACTTTTGTAGTGGTAAAAAACTAGAAACATAGTAGGTATCCAATTGACTGTAGTGTGACTAAACAAGTCATATTATGTTCATTTAATGAAATATTATTGTTCTATGAGAAATGATGAATATGAAAAATTCAGAGAAGCAAAAGAAGACATATAAACAGATGTCAAATGAAGTAAACAACACCAGAGACAGACAGACAGACAGACAGACAGACAGACAGACAGATAGATAGATAGATAGATAGATAGATAGATAGATAGATTAGATTAGATTAGATTAGATTGGCAATTAAAATAGAAATCACAGGCACTAGCCTTATTTTCCCAAACCCTATTTCTACTGGCTGATTAGATTCCCAAAGGGCCACTGCTAATTTAGGGTTCTAGGGGATCCTGAGGGGTTGAAGGTGAAATCTTCCAGAATATATATAACAAATATATTCCACCAATATACTCCTCCCCATTTATTTTTAGTTGATATCAATTAACCATCCATATTTAATCAGATTTTAGGAAAGTGCATTGACTAAGATAGTATAAAAGTAGTTGGTACAAAACATTGCAAAAGTCTAAGACTGCAATCTCCCATTAATACTTAGCAATGTCAGTGGAAAGTAAGCTCAAACTCAGAGAATACATGTGGCAAAGGGATAATTCATGATTCTCAGGTAAAGTCTTTTTATCCACTTCATGGGCTACTAATCAAAATCCCCTTAGTTATGATTTCTGTGTTCCTTATAGTCTTGAAAGTGACTTTCCACAATGTGTCTAGTTTGTCCCTAGTTCCTAATGCAGACACTGACAAAAAGAAGTTCAAATTCTCCAAAATTCATAAGGTCATCCTCCGGTCAAGGAGAAGCAGGGGGGAAGATAAAAATTTTCCCCCTCCCTCTCTCAAGGGCTTGTTTGTAACTACTCTTATTTTTACTCATTTTACTCATTACTTATTTTTACTACTCAATTTTAGTCTCCTGAGTTCCACATCTTTCTGAGTTTTGCTTAGTTCTGCAATTTTATACAAAATCTATAGAGTATGACCAAGTTTAGTCCAAGTTTTGGGTTTAGCCAATCAAAATCGTTTCCTTGTATGATGTCACTCCATATCACTCAATGGTTTTCAAGGCCTTCTCTTACCTACAGTAATGCCCTTGATTGATTGATTCAATAGTGTTGTTTGAACTTTGTTCATATTTAATTCATAATTCTGATTTCTTGACTTAACTGAGGTATTCTCACTTGACAAAACTGAGAACTTTTGAGGAAGGGTTAGTAAGAGTGGTAATTGGTTGATAATTTAATGGACCACAGTTACATGTATATGTGTATGTGTATGCATGTGTGTGTGTGTGTGTGTGTGTGTGTGCATAAAGTGAGTATAGAAACCTAAATGGGAAAAAACAACCTTTTTAATGAACACTTTGCAAATATGATATGCAATAATAATGACCAAACTTGGGTTCAAAGACTAGACGTGACTTCACTTTATGCTCTTATTTACAGGGGTAGGAGATTATGTGTTTAAAACACACATTATTGTCAAACTGATTTGACTGAATGTATTACATTATTGAATTGATTTTCTTTCTCTTTTTTATTCTTCATTATAAGGAATGGCTGTGAGTAGGGGTTGGGACTCCCTAATATTGGAAATTAAAGTGGTATAAAACAAAATTATTAATAAAATGTAAAAAAAGTATGAACTAAAACATAATATGGCAATCAAGAAATACAATGCAACCTTGTTGTTGTTTGTCCTTCCTTCTGAAAGAGGACCATGATATCAGGGGGGTGATACCGTGACATGTAAGTGAATTTGATTTAAGTGAGGAAGCGCTGCTCAGTCACCAGCCTCACCTTCTCCTCCTGAGCCATCTGGGTCCAGTGGCCAGATAGCTATCAGGACAACTGCAGATGGCCTGGGATGCAGTGGGGGACATTGGGCTTTTCAAGATAAGGTCTTTAATTGGTCTCAGTTTAACTAAGGTAATGCCCATTCAGTGATTAAGGCCTAATAAGAAATGAGACAGAGAATGGCCTCTTTACCTAGTGCAGAAAAAAAAAATATCTGGGAGGGAAGGCCCTCAAGGTTTCTTGCCAAAACAGAAATGATTGCTATTTACATTCATTCTGACCTAATCAATGCTGAAACATTGCCCAAGTAGGGCAATGGGGCAACATTAGTCTGCACTAGGAAAGGAATAGCTTCCAGACTGAAAGAGTTGATAGTCATGTTGTATTTGCCACAATGAAACCACATTTGGAGTTTTGTGTTTAGTTCCGGTCACCATGTTTTAGCAAGAACATCAATGAGTTAGTTGTAAAGGATCCAGAGAAGGCTGAAAAAAGTGGTAAAAGGTTTAAATTAAGTTCATCCTATAGAAGGGTCATTTGAAAAACCTGAGAATGCATAGGATGGAAAAGTTTACTAGCTATCTCCAGATATTGAAGAACATTATGTAGAGAGGTAGAAAAGGGAGCAATGGACAGAAATTCCATAGACACAATTTTGAGCTTAAATAGTTCAAATTCCATTTCTAGATTACTCTCATTTTTAGGAAAATTTTCCTTTAAGGAAGCAATGGACAGAAATTCCATTTTTGAGCTTACATTGCCCTATGGAATTTTTGTCCATTGCCCCCTTGTTTAAAGGAAGTTTTTCCTAATAATGAGAGTAATCTGGAAATGTAGTAGGAGACCTTAAGTAACATTTAGTTCTCCATCACTAAGAGTCTTCAAATGATATCTAAGTGACCCCAGAGGATTCTTATGCAACAATTCATTGGACTAGATATTAGCTATAGTCCTTTTTATCTCTGAGAATATGTAATGCTTGAGGTTGAATTGTACAATGTTGAATTATTAAATTGAAATGCATTGAAATTTTGTGAATCAAATTGAATGGAATTAATTCATTAAACATTTAATAACTGTTTTTAAAAACCAATTTTGTGCAAATCACTTATTTTCTACTATTTTAAGTACTGGAGATAATACAAGTCATTTACATTTTCCACATAATCATCTTTCTTATAGAGACATTGGCTTTGTCCATTGTGCTTTTAATAGCCAATGTTAATTTTACCTATGTTAAATGATGGGCTACTTTTTTTTTTATTCTTATGGGAAATTAATGCTTTTAGCAATGCTAGAGACTAGAGATACAAAGTAAAAAATAAACCAGTACCTCCCTCAATGAGCTTGTATTCTGCTTCACTGGAATGAGA